AAAAGAAGAAGAAGATAGCAGGAAGGGAAAAATGAAGGGGGGGAAATCGGAGGGGGAGACAAACCATGAGAGACTGTGGACTCTGAGAAACAAACTGAAGGTTCCAGAGGGGAAGGGGGTAGGGGGGTGGGTTAGCCTGGTGATGGGTATTAAAGAGGGCACGTATTGCATGGAGCACTGGGTGTTATGCACAAACAATGAATCATGGAACACTACATCAAAAACAAATGATGCAATGTATGGTGATTAACATAACATAATTAAAAAAAAAGAAACAAACTAAGCGTTTTAGAGGGGAAGGGGGTGGGGGATGGGTTAGCCTGGTGATGGGTATTAAGGAGGGCACGTCCTGCATGGAGCACTGGGTGTTATACAAAAACAATGAATCATGGATCACCACATCAAAAATTAATGATGTATTGTGTGGTGATGAACACAATATAATAAAATAAAATTAAAAAAAAATAAAGACACATATATGCCAAAAGTGAAGAGATAGAAAAAATAAAAATGGTTACCAAGAAAGATCAGGGGTGGTTATACTAACAACACACAAAATTGACTTTAAGTCAAAAACTGTCACAAGAGGCAAAGAAGAAATTATATAATGGTAAAAGGGTCAATTCACCAAGAAGATATAGCAATTATAAATATATATGCACCTATCATCAAAGCACCTAAAATATATGAAACAAACACTGATGGAACAGAAAGGAGAAACAGACGATACAATAATAGCAGGAGATTTCAGTACCCCACTGTCAATAATAGGTAGAATATCCAGACAGAAATTCAATAAGGAAACAGACTGAACAACCTTAAAGACTGCGTGGACTTAAGAGACATATATAGAATATTATACCCCAGTGTCAGCAAAGATGTGGAGAAAAAGGAATCATTGTGCACTGTTGGTGGGAATGTAAATTGGTACAGCCACTGTGGAAAATTATGGAGGTTTTTCAAAAAATTAAAAATGGAATTACCATATGACCCAATAATTCCACTACTGAATAATTATCCAAAGAAAATGAAAATACTAATTTGAAAAGATAAATGCACCACCATGTTTATTGCAGCATTTTTTACAATAACCAAGGTATGGAAGCAACCCAAGTGTCCATCGATAGATGAATAAAGAAGATGTGGCATATATATATACAGTGGAATATGACTCAACCATAAAAAAGATGAGGTCTTGCCATTTGCAACAACATGGTTGAACCTAGATGGTATTATGCTAAATGAAATAAATCAGACAGAGAAAGACAGATACTGTATAATTTCATTTATATATGGAATCTGAAAAACAAAAAATGAATAAACAAAAGGCAGAATCGGACTTATAAATGCAGAGAACAAAGTGATGATTGCCAAAGGGGATGGATAAAATGGGTGAAAGGAAATGGGAGACACATTCTTCCAGTTATGGAATGAATAAGTCATGGGAATAAAAGGTACAGCATAAGGAATATAGTCAAAGACATTGTAATTGTGTTATATGGTGACAGATGGTAGCTACACTTGGACTGAGCACAGCATAACATACAAACTTGTTGAATCCCTATGTTGTACACCTGAAACTAATGTCACATTATGTGTCACCTATACTTAAATAAAAAAAGGAACGTATACCAAAAAATAAGTCACCCAAGTCAGAAAAGAAGTAAAACTATCACTATTTGCATAGGACATAATATTATATATAGAAACCCCTCTAATGACTTCGCACACACACACAAAACTGTTAGAACTAATAAACCAATTCCATAAAGTTGCAGGATAAAAAATCAACATACAAACCCAGCTGTGTTTCTGTACACTAACAAGAACTATATGAAAAAGAAATGGAGAAAACAATCCTATGTACAATAACAACAAAAAGAATAAAAGACTTAGTAATACACTTAGCCAAGGAGGTGAAAGACTTGTACGCTGAAAACTACAAAACATCAATGAAAGAAAGTAGTCACAAATAAATGGAAAGACACCCTACGTTCGTGGATTGGAAGACAATATTAAGATATCCATACTACCCAAAGCAATCTCCAGATTCAGTGCAATCCCTATCAAAATCCTAATGGCATTCTTTACAGGATTAGAAAAAATAATCTTAAAATTCATATGGAACAACAAAGGACACTAAATACTCAAAACAATCTTGAGAAAAAAGGAAAAGCTGGAGGCATCACACTTCCTGGTTTATACAATATGGCCCTGGCATGAAGATGGATATGTAGATCTATGGAACAAAGCCCAGAAAGAAATCCATTTATATATATTGTCTTTGACAAGGGTGCCAAGAATACACTGTGAGGAAAGGATAGTATCTTCAACAAAAGTGTTGGGAAAACTGGATATCTATATGCAAAAGAATGAAATTAAACCTTTATATTACAGCATACACAAAAATTGACTCAAAATAGATTAAAGACTTAAATGTAAGACATGAAATTATAAAATTTCTATCAAAAATATAGGGGGAAAGCTTTATGATACTGGTCATTATGCATTTTGTTGATGGAAATGTAAAATGGTGCAGACACTATGAAAAACAGCATGGAGGTTTCTCAAAAAATTAAAAATAGAGATTATCTCGGGTTTTAAAAATCTGTTCTTACACTGCAACAAGAGGATCTATGATCTATCTATGCAAAATACTCCAGATATCCTCTTAAAATTGGCCAGAGGAGAAATTAAAATCAATCAATTCAATGTACCATTAGGAAGTAGTCAGGCAAATCCAGCAAGTGGGACATTTGCAGGCCAACTGACCTATGCTCTTTAGTAAGTTAACATCACAGGGAGAAAAGGAGGCTAAAGACTTTTAAAACTTTAAGATATTTATGGATTCCCATGGCTTGTTAAAAAATATTGGAGAAAAAAATTGGAAGGGGGGAGAATAAATGGAACAAAATTGGCAAAATTTCAAAATTTTTGTCATGGTTGATGGGTACATGGATTTTCATTTTACTATTTTGTTAACTTTTACATTCAATTGAAAATTTCCATTGTAGAGAGTTGGCAAAAAAGGGTACATGTGAGTCATAATAATCAAAAGCAATGAGTAAACAGCATTTTTAGAAAAATTGAGGGAATTTGAGTCTAAAATAAAAATTAGTATTGGAAAATTACTTTTAATTTTGTAAAGTGTCTTAATGGCATCATGACTATGTAGGAAAATGTCAGTAATTTTTAGAGGTACATAGTACTGCATCGAGGGTAAAATGTCATGATCTTTGTAATTTATCCTGAAATGTTAAAGCAAAAAAAAAAATATGTAGCAAATATAGAAAGATGTCAATTGTTAAAATCATGATTATGGGTGTCCTCTATTCCTTTGTATATTTGAAAATTTTAATAATAAGCAATTGAAATAAGTCATTGAAATAATATTTTTAATTCTGTGGAAAATTAATTTATGATTATGTACCTAGCCAAATAATGACTCAAAATTGAGGCAAAATATGAAATTTCAGACAAAAGCAATTTAACTCACATTCCACATACTGATACATTCACTTTTTCATCCAGGATACTAATTATCTTTGGTACCTGAACTTTGACCTCAAACTTGGGAAGCACTGTTGATAGAGAAAATGGAAACAGGGTGGCTGGTGAACATTTAATGGAAATACAAATATTTCATGTTTATAACTTTTCCCAAAATAATACCCTGAAAAGCTAGATCCATTTTTCAAGTGCCAGCTTTAAGATGATAAGTTTTAACAATTCACACAAAATTTAATTGCCTTTGTGATCACAGCAGATCTCAATGACACTAACAAAGGATGATGGCTCCACTGAAATAAGAATTCTGATACTCAGCAAAGTGTAACTTGCTACTGAAAATCAAGCTCTTGTGAGCTTCTGGAGCACAGAATTGTGATGACTTTACAAACAGCTCAAACTGATTCTAATCCGAGTTCCACATACCAATGGGAGATTCAGAAAGTCTAAGTGAGTGCACGGTGTGAAACAAAAAGTTATGTCCTTTTCATGTTTCAGAAGCCATACCAAATTCTTCTACGGTGAAGGGGTGCTCTATCCGTTTGCCCAATTCCTTCTGTACCACCACCTTGTAAGAACCCTGAACGGGCTCAGACGAGAGGGGAAAGGCCAGCTGTTGGAGGCCACTCTCCAACCTGAGACTCTGCCATTGTCCAACTCGATTTCTTTTGGGTCCTAGAGGTAAACAAGGAGCATGGGGAATAATTATGTAGCCATGATAGTCCTCGAACCAAACAAATGATTTTGGGGTTGGTAACTGGTTCTTGCTTTCAGAAGAGATAAACACAGAAGAAAGATAAAACAGAATAAACCGGATATCTGGGAGTAGGAAATTTTAGATCTGAAAGGTTTTTTTTTTTAATAGTAATTCATCTGTAAGGACTATCAGAACTTCTAACCTTAAATGTGCTGATTTCCTTATGTAAGGCTCTTTCTGTTGCTTACCTCAAGGTATACCAGTGGAATCTATATGAAAAAAGGAAAGAAGAGATGTGATTAGAATTTCACCAAAGGCTGTGATTTCAGACTTATGATCCAATAGTTTACTCAGGAAAAGTAGAATCTGTAGTAAGATATAACAAAATTTAACCTGAAACATTAAAGAACTAGAATTACTTAGGGAAACCGGTAAATAGTTCTAAGAAAAGCATAAATATTTCCACAACAATCATTGTGCTGCCATTTCCCTGAAAAATATTATTGGTGGATAAGTTTTATTAATATTTACTAATTTATTAATATTATTTACCACTAATATGTAGGTACTGAAGTCTTCTTAATAAAGAATATGACTATACTCTTTACTTGCATATATTAGGAAGTGGATATTTTTTTAAAAGATTTATTTATTTATTTATTTGACAGAGAGAAACACAGCGAGAGAGGGAACACAAGCAGGGGGAGTGGGAGAGGGAGAAGCAGGCTTCCTGCTGAGCAGGGAGCCCGATGTGGGGCTCGATCCCAGGACCCTGGGACCATGACCCGAGCCGAAGGCAGATGCTTAACTAACTGAGCCACCCAGGTGCCCCAGAAAATGGATATTAATAGAGTGATATGTTATTATAATTTAGACCAAATAGGAATAGAGTTGTCAGAATGATTTGGTTAATAATTAACCAAGAATATTTTTTCTAATTTAAAAATTACATTTTTAAAGTAGCTTTATTTCTTTGCCTTGTTAAATGCTAGTTAGAGGAAGGGACACTCAATCAGGAAAAACAAAATCTTTGTATATAATATATATTTTATATTATATCTATGTTATATTATATATTAATATATATCATAGAATATATGTATATAAATATACATATATGTATTTATTGCCATATTACAATTTTTCTACTATATAGATAGATGGATAGATTTATTCAGAATCAACGAAACTCTCCATGGTTTAATTAATCATAAACTCCTCGGAAGTATGGGTATGGATAGCTCCTAACTTTTTTATCGTGTCTCTTCATGTTTAATGTATTGTGCTCACAGCAATAAATCTAGCTATTGTCGAATGATTGATTACTGTTGTAAGAAAAATAGCTTCCTCATCTCTCACCCTTCAATTATGCCTTACATAAGACTCTAGATCTGTGGTGCTGCTGGAGCCCAGGTTCCAAAAGGAATGTTTTTCATCTTCTTGCTTTTCCTAGACCTTCCTGCTCCCACTAGGGTGAGTCCTCCCACCCCCCAACAAAATCATAACTCTTGAGATACCTACCAGTTCATTCAGGGGTGAAAATTCTCATCCACAGAGACAATACGGAATTTTACTGAAAAAGAGATTCCTTGGTAAGACTCAGACATGATAAAGCAGGGAATGTGTGTGCTAAGTCAGGAAGCTAAGAGATGGGGATTTTCCAAGTTTACTCTGCAAAACCTGCTGAAGGGTGCCCTCTCCTTCTCAGTGCTGCCCCCACTGAGGGAAATAGAGGAATTTCCCGACATACCTGTCTGTCCTGGTTTATAGATGGGTTTGTCTGTCTGGACAAAGACCAGACTTTGAGTATTCTTTACCAGCACTGTGTTCTTCTTCCTAAAGTCTTGTGTTGGTCCCTTTATCTGGACAGTAAGGAATGCCACCTCTGGAGAGGACGAAATCCTTGGGAGCTAAGGAACAAAGAACACTGCTGAAGAGCCACACAATCTTCTCGCCCCCAATCTTTCATCCATTACTGTTTTCTATCTCTCTTTCAGCTTCACAAAAGGCTAGGTAAGTATAAATATTTCTCCAGATATGAGCGAAGATAATAATGTTAGACATAGGAGAAATATATCAGTGAGAGCAACCATTAGTGGGACCCAAATCTCCATATAGCTTACCTGGAACTCTAGTTCTTAAATAATTCTCCTTTTAACAGA